TGCAATAATTAGCTTGTGTTTGTCTTTTCTTTCCTTAATATTATTTTTTTCCGAGCCCAGCGTTCATTATTTTTAGAATTTTTTCGGTGTCGTGCATTCTGTTGTTTTTCAATGGATTTTTGAAAAACTTTGTGATCGAAATTTTTTCTGAAAATATGAAAATATGAAATATTTTGAAAAGTAATTAGAAAAAAAATATATATATATTTTTTGTGTTTATGAATCCGTTTTTTTTAGAATTTCAATGAAAGCTTTCACTTTTTCTGAATTCGGCTCCTGTAAAATTGAACTTAAATTTCGTTTCGGTTTTATATCCTGATTTGAAAACAGTGGATTTGAACAATATTGGTCTTGGATTTTTCATGGTTCTGTGCGATTTGCGCTCAGAACATCAATAGAGCTTCTGAGCAAGTTAAGCATTGCAGCCATTTTAAGAATTGCGGTTGAAATGAGACTGAACTTGCTACATTTCTAGTTTCGTAAGTGGAATTTCGATTTTTAGATTTCCAGCGGAATAAATACTTTACCTATTGATCCAGTTTTTTCTAGTTGGGTTCATGTTATATAATAGTGCCAGCCATAAATTGTTCTAGAAATTCAGAGAGCTTAAATTGCATTTTTAATTGAAATTCGAAAGTTGAGATTTTTTTCAAGAAAGTCAGTGTTTTTTTATGTTTACTTGCGTTCATTACTCTTTTCCAATCTTCGATTGGCTATGTTTTTCATTTAAATTCAAAAAAAAATTTGTTTCACGGGTTTCATCCTAGTTACGTCGGTTCATTTTCCGTTTTCAATTTTTTCTATTTATTTGGAATTAGAACGGTTTTTCATTGTCTTTCATTCCAAATGATGGGTTTTATTTTGATTTAAAAACTTTTGTTAATTATAATTGAGAGTTCTGTTATTTATGAATTTACCAAGTCTGAATTTGGTTATGTTTATATATTGTTCATTCTGATCAAACGGTTTTGTCTTATTTTAAATCGGCTTAGTTAAGCTAGTTTGCATGTTGCGTTGTTTCGAAGGCAAACTACGTCCATCTTTTCTTTTTTTTCAGCAGGGATGGATTAAAAATTTCTCAAATTTTATAGATCAGGTTATTTTTATAACAGTTTTGTTTTCAACTCTGACAGATTTTGTAGACTTAGTTGCAACCTTTTAAATGATTCCCAATGTTTTTAAGCAAGGTTTATAAACCGCATCCGAAACAAATGTATGGAATTTTCGTAGATATAATTTTTTCGACGTTTAAAGTTTTTTCAAGTTAATTTTTCAGTTTTTTATATTCATGATCTTGAATCGCAATGTTTTTGTTGTATCACAAGTGTTGCGAAGCTACGATTTGTCTCAGTGTATAATTTACTTCATCACATGTTGTGTGAAGTTCCGCATCTCCTGTATTTGACTTTTTATAAGTTTTTTCTTTGCTTTTTTTTTAAATAAGAAGCTGCTCTCTGCCGTTTTTTTTGCTCGTTTGTGCTTTTGCTTAAAATTTTGGTTGTTTTTTGTGAATAATTTATATCAACAATATTAAACAACATTTTTTGCATACGATTTCGATCATTGGTTTTTAAATATATATTCATTACACCGAAGACTTTAGTCAAGGTGTTATGGTATCGTGTAACGGGTTTTTTTTTTAAATGTTGTCTGTTGTCAAGTGTCGACAAATAACGTCCACAGTTATCAATTATCATGTGGGCTGGACTATATCGCGCTATGTCACGTGATTGCGTATGTTTGTTTCTTTATTTGTTCATCTTTATTTATTTAATTATCTGTTCTTCTATTTATTTAATTATGTTTAGTTTGCTTATATTTATTTATAATTTATGTGTGTACATATTTATTTTTGTTTATTTTTATCACGTGTTTTGTTTATTTATTTAATTATTCTTTCTTTCGTTTAGTTTTGCTTTTATTATTTCTGCGTGTGTATTTATTTAATTTATTTATTTTCATTTATTTATATTATGGGTCTGTTTGTTTGGTTATTTGTTCATATATATTTTTTCATGTCTATTTAATTATTTGTACATTTCACTTTTGCTTTTATTTATTTATTTATTTATTTATTTATGTATTTATTTATGTATTTATTTATGTATTTATTTATTTATTTATGTATTGATTTATTTTTTTATTGCTTATTTATTTATCAGGTGTGTTTTGTTTATTTGTTGATATTTATTTCTATATTTATTTAATTATTCTTTCTTTCATTTAGTTTTGCTTTTATTATTTATGTATGTGTATTTATTTCATTTATTTATTTTCATTTATTCATATTATGGGTCTGTTTGTTTGGTTATTTGTTCATATATATTTTTTCATGTCTATTTAATTATTTGTACATTTCACTTTTGCTTTTATTTATTTATATATTTATTTATTTATGTTTTCATTTATGTATTTATTTTTTTATTTATGTATTGATTTATTTTTTTATTGCTTATTTATTTATCAGGTGTGTTTTGTTTATTTGTTGATATTTATTTCTATATTTATTTAATTATTCTTTCTTTCATTTAGTTTTGCTTTTATTATTTATGTATGTGTATTTATTTAATTCATTTACTTTCATTTATTTATATTATGGGTCTGTTTGTTTGGTTATTTGTTCATGAGATATATATTTTTTCATGTTAATTTAATTATTTGTACATTTCAGTTTTGCGTTTATTTATTTATTTATTTATGTATGTATTTATTTATTTATGTATTGATTTATTTTTTTATTGTTTATTTATTTATCAGGTGTGTTTTGTTTATTCGTTGATATTTATTGCTATATTTATTTAATTATTTTCTTTCATTTAGTTTTGCTTTTATTTATTATTCATGTATGTATTTATTTATTCATTTATTTATTTATGTTTATTTATTTTTGGTTTGTTCGTTCATTTGTTGGTTTGTTCGTTCATTTATTTATTTATTTAGTTAGCGTCTTTGTTGTTTGATTGTGAAATTTGATGTTTTACTTCTTAGCTATGTAGTTAAAAGCAAAAAATGATTTTCAATTTATTGTTCTGTTTAGGATATTTTCCGAAAGATCTGTATATCACCAATTAGCGTACAACGATTTACAGGGAACGCTGCCAACGAGATTTGTCCACTTGCTTTTGGGTTGCAGCTACATCAAAAATGATATAGCAAAATATTGGTGTATACATGTGTTAGTACGATTTTAGCTCTAGAATTGTTATTTCAGGCTCTTCGTCAATATAGCAATATTTTAGCGTATACATGTGTTAGTACCATTTTTAGTTCTCGAACTGTTATTTTATGATCTATGTCAGTATATCAAAATTTTAGTGTATACATGTGTTATTACGATTTTTAGTTCTCGAACTGTTATTTCATGATCTTTGTCAATATATCAAAATTTTATTGTATACATGTGTTAGTACCATTTTTAGTTCTCGAACTGTTATTCCATGATCTTTGTCAATATAGCAAAATTTTGGTGTATACATGTGTTAGTACGATTTTTAGCTCTAGAACTGTTATTCCATGATCTTTGTCAATATAGCAAAAATTTGACGTATACATGTGTTAGTACGATTTTTAGCTCTCGAACTGTTATTTCATGATCTTTGCCAATATAGCAAAATTTTGGTGTATACATGTGTTCGTACGATTTTTAGCTCACGAACTGTTATTTCAGGCCCTTTGTCAATATAGTAAAATTTTGGTGTATACATGTGTTACTACGATTTTTAGTTCTAGAAGTGTTATTTTATGATCTTCGTTGATATATCAAAAATTTAACCTATACATGTGTTAGTACGATTTTTAGTTCTAGAACTGTTATTTCAGGCTCTTTCTCGATATAGCAAAATTTTGGTGTATACATGTATTAGTACGATTTTTTGTTCTAGAACTGTTATTCTTCAATTATTAGTTGCTCAAGTTGTTTGGTTTTTGCTTCAGTTTCTATGCCTTCGGTGTATTGCGCGTAGCGCCTATGTTCATAATTAGGCGTCAAATATTTTTCAAATGAAAGTACCTATTCCAGCAGTTTTTATGGCTTAAAAATAACTCATCCACTTGAATTTTTCTCTTTTGTACGTGTTGTTTCAGCCGATATTGTGTGCGCTCTATTCTTTCAAAGCTTGACTTTTTTAAGTTCTTTATTTTGTATTTCATGCTTTTAACAAAAAAAAATGACTATCTTTTTTTTGTACAAGCACAGATACCACACAATTGTTCGTAGTTGAAATCATACCCATATTTTTGCCATCTTGATTGCGGCCTCACAACAATGTAATAATTCTGATTCATAACTGTAGTTGTTCATAGCCGCATTGATTTTTCCTTTTTCGACATGCTCTTGAGACGGCTTCTTTCTTTCTCCGCAAATAAAATAGACTTGCATATATCTGGAATTATGGTTTTCTTCGAATCACGCGTTTACATATGGCATGCTTTGACTCGATCATGCCTGAGCTCATTATCCAAGTATTCGTTGAAACAAATCCTATCCGCTAATGCACCTTTGACCAGCTAGCGTTACAATGTGTGTTTAGTACCAGTATGCAATCCTTGCTAGTATATATATCTTTTGCTCACAACGGTTTTGTTTTTTTTTTTGGCTAGAACGTTGCATCCTAATCCACGCTGTCCTTGAATAAAAACGGAGTTAAGATTTTAAATAACGGGAATAATTTGAGGTTTTTTCTCTAAACAGTATCAGAATTTTGAAAAAAAAAGTTAGTTCAAACACCCTAAAGGATCTTGGGAAATTCATGGCCTCGGCGCGATTGAAGCAATTTTGATGTGTCCGACTGTTTTTCAAGCGAATAAATAAGATTTATGATCTAGTCTATATATAATATCATCATAATAATAAGACTTCAAGTAAATTTGAATTAAGAATAGAATTAACGAATCTGTTTTTCTGAAATAAATATTCTTAAAAGTAAAATGACGTAATAGTGTGGGTTTGAATGAACTTCTTGTTAGGGCGTAGGCGTATAACCTGAATGTACGTGTTGTAGGGTGAGTGTTGGTGTGAGGTGCAGTTCAGAGGCAGCTCGTGTCAGACAACCAACCTACTCTACTACACCATCTTCGCCTGTCTCTTCTTCCTCCTCTCCCTCATCTCACTCATACAACTCGCAGTATGTGTGCAGGCAAGTACACTAAAGTAAACTTGGCCCATGTGAACAATCTCACCTCTAAAATTAAATGGCAAATTCAAGCAGTTAGACATGTATGTACTATGCTATTTTTTGATTGGATGAAAACTTTTACTTGTAACCAAATGAATGATCTCCTCTCTAAGTTGATTTAGAGAGGCGATTATTCACTTGGTCCATTGAGTCACCACATTCTAGTTCAAGACAATTAATCATTTAGAAAAATGGTCAACATGCGATTTGATCAGATCTCTGGGATTACTACCCATCCCTGATTGATACCTACATTGGATGCAGTTTTTTGGGCTAAATTTTGCTTCAATCTCGAGCATCCTCGTATTTAAAGTTGGGCCTCATGTTTGCTCCTTTATAATTTTTGTTTTGACTTTAGATCTCTTTTTAAGTTTGCTTGCGAAATTATGCTCTTTAATAAAAAAAAAGAGCAAAGGGAATTTAAATACTCTACTATTGCTAATGCGTTTCCTGTCTGTTTTTCCATTGTGACGGAGTTGCGCATTCGAAAGTGCGCAAGCAATGGTTTAAATGAGGGCATTCTGAATCGCATTCAAGCTATACAATGGATGATAATAGGTTTTTCCATGCCATTCGATCAAGGCAGTTTGTGGATTTGAGACCTAAAGTATTCAGGTCTCGTCTCCTTTAACACAATCGATCCAGCGTTTTTAAGGCCTTCCTGTTGGTCTTTTCCCTCGGACTGAAACATGGTCTGTTATGTTTGCCACATGACTATTTTCTCTTCCCTGAGCATAGCCAAACCATCCGAACCGCGACCGCACTTGTAGCTTGGGTAGATCTACAAGACCTGTCATTTTAATTACTGATTTGTTGGTAACTCTTTATAAGTGACTCCTATAATCCTACAGAGTTTTCATATCCGCATTCTTCCGAGAGCTAGATATTGCCTTGTTCTGCGCCCAGGTTTCAGAGCAGTAGATCAGAACTTGTCGGAGACAAGCTCTGTAGTTATGGCACATTGTAATCAATTCAATATCATTATTCAGCAGCAGAGGCGCAATTTGCCGCGGTTTTGTCCAGAAAGCTGCTATTCTGACTAATGATGCACGTTTTGCGTCACGTTTTTCGTAAATCGTATCACCCAGAGAGCAGAGCTCTTTGAAAGTAGTTAGGGTTTCAAATTGATTGATCCGTAGAATAGCATTCTGATTTGAGCGATAATTGGAAGGATTATTGCATCTTGGATAAACATAATTAGTGTTTTGGTTTGGTATTTTCCCCTGACCACTGCATTTTTATGCACTCATTGGTTACAAGAATTGCAGCGTATTGAATTGGCGCCGACTCCCTTTAAACAAAAGCGCATGGATATTTTCCGGTTTTTTAAGGATTACTTATTTGGCCTGAAGTCAAATGCTTTGTCTAATCCTCGTTGATTTTCAAACCGCGTTTTTGCAAAGCCTTGTTTCAACAAGTATTTAAAATCTCATTTGACTGTAATTCCGTTTCAGCGGATATCACAAGGTCATCTGCACATAGCATATCCCATGGTAACAGGGAACGATTTTTTCTCCTAGCTTCTTTCATTACTTTTATAAATAAGAATGGGCCAAGTGCCGATCATTGATCACTGTTTTTTTTTGGGGCCGGATAACTCTGGTTTTCAACTCGGTACACACATACTATTAGTTGTACCAGATTTTTGGGAACGTTCTGTTACCTCAGAGCCCATGGGATCAGTTCCCTGGGAACACGGTAGAAGGCTTCGAGATCAACAAATATGCGATGCAGGGTTCATTCTTTTACGCAAGTAGTTCCTTCAATGGTCTTATAAGAAAAATGGCATCAGTAGTTGATCTACCACCAATTAAGTCAAATTGCATGTCATCTATTTTTATCAATTCTCTCAGGTGTTTTTCTTTTTTTTGAAAGTTTTAAATATGTGTTTCAGTAATCGGATGCCTCATTAGGATCCACATTCTAACGGATCGCCTTTTCTTTTTAAACAATAACAGTTTCCCTTTTGATCCAGTCGGAGGGGATTAGACCTGAATCTCACTATTCCTTAAAGACTTCAAAAAGCTCAGCAAGTCCACAATCCCCGGCAAATTTTATAATGACCAAAGTTAGTCCTGTCGGTCCTGGGCTTTTTTTTTAAATTTTTCATCTCTCCCGGTGCAAGTGCCACTTCCTAGATGGTTAAGTCCTCCAATGGGCAAGCCATTGGGTAGATATCTTGTTTCAAACGGATTTAGTCCATCTTAAATTTGAAATGTAGCTTTGCCACTGCGAGAGTTTTTCTTCACATTTATTGAGTTTTGACCAACCACTTCCTTTTGATTATTTTGCATTTGCTTGGCAAGGCGGAACATTTTATGCCCCGTCGCCTTTTTGAGAGATCTTGTCGCCATTTCTGGTTTGATTATTTTTTAGCTTAAGCTTAGGAATTTAAAAATGGTTGCAAATTAATTTTGTATGCATTTTTCTAGAACTAGGTTAGTTGCATCAAAAAAATTGTCCATCTTAAATCATCCTTGAACTTGAAGAATTGGAGTTTTAATGTAATATAATTAGTCATATGAAGTTTCTCAAATTCATTCTGTTTCAATGACTACCTTCCTACTGTCTGTTGGTTAGTTTAATGATCCAACAGCAATGATTTTTTCAGGCGTTTCACAATAAACAAAAATTTCAATATTTTGTTTTCAGGTTTTTTAAATGAACTTGGACATTCCCGTTTCCTTATATCTTTAAAACAAGACATTTTTCTAAAACTTTTTGATTTTGAAGAGTTATTTTTTGTCAAGTAAGCGTTAATGAAGCTTCGAAAACTGGAGCAAAACTAAACTGTTGAAAATTGTTTTCGTTTTAGGCCGAGTACCACAAGAGGCATAAACCTACCATAAGAGACGTATTCCGCCTGACCAATCAGAAGCTAGTATACTTCTTCGTCACCATAGCAACAGCGTCCAGGGGCTTCTATTTCGCAATCCAACTCAGCCACCCAGTCATTTCATTCAACCTTCAAACTGTATACTACCCTCTAATTCTCACAATTTTTTCACTTATCGTATGCAAATGGGCCGAATGGTTTCATATAAACGATATGCCGCCACATCCTTCGGGAATTGTGGGGCAGTCGCCGGAAACGCCAAATTCGAGATCGCCGAGTGCGAATAGGTTCTTCTCGGCTCAAGTGTCGTCCTCTTCGTCGCGACAGCAGTGCATGAGCAGGACTAACTCCTACAACCATCAACACCAGGGACCTTACGTGGCGCCCAATGCCTCCTTTCTCACCAAATCACTAGGCGCATTTGTCACATTCAATGTGCTTATGTACATCCTGCTGTTTCTACAGCTGCTGGCTACAAACACGTGGGTGAAAGACATCGCCGGTTAGTTGAACGAATGATAAAATAATTATTACTGCGATGCTGGCCCTCAAAAATGAAGCTTAACCTTGGATTCCGGGGTGATTAATAACTAAGTAAATAGTTAATAATTTCGACCTCTCTCGTAGTTTGGGAAGGAAATGTGGAGTATGATGGCTTTTTAGCCTACTTGACTGCGTCAAAGAAAGCTCGTTGGTTGAAGGATTCTAAAACTATCAAAAAAGTTTTCTGTGTCGAGAAAATTTGGTCTTTTTTTGGCTGATTGCTATTCAAACTCAATTTAGCGAAGAGCGGATAATTTTCCTTCATATCTACTATTAACAATTATCAGAAAATACTTAATTAATATGTATGAACAGTTTTTATTATATTTATCAAGTGTCAATGAACTTTTAATTTTTTTCGCTTCAATTCAAATCCTTTTGCGAAAATAAGGAAAGTTTCGTTCTCGAGTATCAAGAGTTCAAATAGAGGACAGAGAATAGAAATATCTTAAAAGCGGATTTAAGTTTTAGATCCCAGCAGAATAAAAACTTTATCTATTGATCCGGTTTTACAATTAGTGTTAATACTATCAAAAAGTTATCAATTATGAAAGATTCTTGGAATTGAAACTGCTTTTACATGATGGATTACATGATGAATTTGTTTCATTGCAACTTTAAGTTTGACTTATTTCGGAAAAAAAGCCCATCATTTCGAAATGTGACTAATACGTGCGCTAAGTACATCTCATTTCTCTACTAAACGAGAAACGTAATGTCGGTTCAAGAAGGTACATACAGCCAACTTATCAATATGGATTACTTCTCTACAATTTAAGAAGTGAACAATTTCTTAGAGACAGAAATAATAAGCAAGCATTTACTAAGTCACGCGAGGATTAAAAATTAAAAGTAAGCGAGCCGGGAAGGCTTTTTTTCACTAATTTTTTAAAACTAGACTATTAAATTTTGTTAAAAATAGTGCAATGTCAAGCGAAAAACGTAGACTGTCTTGTTCATTATTTTCAAGAGGTTTGCCTGCATTCTAGTGAACTCTGTGCAACAGTTTGTTCACTAAAAACGTATTTTAGTTTTTATTCGATTTCTTTCATTAAAAAGTTTTATTAAAATTTGTCGGTTGTCATGCTTTTGATCTAACAGTTTTTCCAACTCAACAAAAACGGTTTTTGTGAACTTAGATTTCAATCAGATGAAAACAAAAAAAAACATATTTGGACCTTCCAACTTTATGATGACCATTCGAATCGGCGCTAATGTAAATTTCTGAAGAAAAAGTTTTGTAATGTGCTCGATTCGCAAACGATTTTATTATTGAGACTTATGAACGTAGTGAAGACTCTTATATAGGTCTTGGTGATATTTTTTTGTATTTTCTTTTGCAGGAAAAAGTCTTGAAATGTATTAATAACTACAGATATACATTCATACATATGCATTTATGAATGCACTTAGTTATATATGCAGTATTTGATTTCAATTAAAATGCATCTGCTGAAATTGACATAGATAGCACTCTCCAAACACAAACGTGGAAATGGTGCAAAAAACGTGAACGATTTCTAGCTTCGTAAGTGGAATTTAGTTTTTAGATTTCCAGCGGTATAAAAACTTTACCTGTTGATCCAGTTTTCTCAAGTTGGGTTAATGTTATCAAAAAGCGCCAATCATAAATCGGTCTAGAAATTCAAAGAGCGTAAATGGCATCGAATTTTTTTCTTTGAAATTCGAAAATTGAGATTTTTTCAATAAAGTCATTGTTTTTTTAATGTTTACTTGCGTTCATTAGTTTTTTTCGAAAGTTTTATTGGCTATGTTTTATCATTTCTCTCATAATTTTTTTCACTAAAAGGTTATTCGGATTGAATCGTTTCGGCTTCTGTTATGGAAAGCGCTTGGGTTTGATGTATCACTGGACCCGATCTGATGTTTTTCGTCGTATTTGATTATGGGTAGGAATAGATTAAAAAGTCGAATACAATTTCCTCACCTTTAAGTTGTCGTCATAAAACTTCTAGTAGATGATCTTTACACCAGTTTTAGTAGTTTGAACATTGTTTATCCTTGGAAGCTTTTGGGCTGTTTTTTGCAAGTTGTCTGCGTACATTTGCGAAAGCAGCTGTCTTGTAATCGAGAACAAAACTTTCTTACAGTAAACAAATTTTTTTCTACATCAAGTTGAAAAATTGAAGTTACTTTTTTAGTGAACCGTAGCATTTTCGAGACTTTTTAGCACTTGGTCTTGAGGAAACGCCGTTGGCTTCTTACCCTAAGGTCTGGAGTTCGGGTACAGGCCGGACCTCGTTTTTTCAGTATGTATAAAACTATTGTAGAATTCTGTGCGCAACAGGTTTTGTCGTAGATGCCAAAGATGTTGATGTAATTCTTTAATTTATAAAACTAATAGCCCCGACTTTGCTTATTTTCTTTTTGGTTGTTTTGCTTAAAAGCTTCATTCGGCCTTAAATGTTTAGGCTTATGATTTATGGGCTCAGTTACTTCGATTGAGCCGCTTCAAGGGCAAAATTGATGGAGTTTTAAAAAAATCAGGTAGTTTGTCTTTCAAAATTTCAATCCTTTAAAACCTAATTGCTCAAAACTTATATCAACAAGTTTTCATAGCGTTTTTTTGTTTTCGGCAGAATAAGCGGCTGCTTTTGGCTCAATGAATGCATTGTCGTTTTTTTGATGGCGTGTTAAAAAACTAAAGATTTATTTATAACTTTCCGTATAGTTTTCTTTTCGCTAGCTTGCAATCTAGTGCTTGTATTGTACCGCAAGAGATGCGAAGCTCCGCTTTGCCTCTATGTGAAAAAATTTGATTGTGTGGCAGGTGATAATTAGTGGTCGAAAACCACCCCTGACATAAGAAATGGGCATGCGCGTGGCTGGTGATTCGACCCCCTGCCGACCCTTTACTATTGTCAGATAACCGTTTTTGGCTGACGGACCCTAATATTTTTCTAAAGGCGTCTTTGGTGCCAATATATACTAATTTTGAGGGGAGAGCGAGCACCAAAAAAACTCGATTTTCCTAAAAGTCCCTAAAAACACCGTTTTTGGATGTTTTTTTTTTCAAAAAGTTGCCTGCGGCGCAGAAAATTTCGTCAAAATAGGGTCTTTATTATGATTTGGGAGAGCTCATAAAACAAATTTGGTCGGCCTATAAAAAAATGGCGACAAACTTTATGAATTTTTTTGAAAATCCCCCCCCCCCCCCCCCCTTCGAGAAAATCCCAGATCCGCCCCTACAAGCATACATTTTAAAAGAAAACAAAATAAACTAGAATCTACTAAATGACACGAGGATTAGAACATTTAAATTAAGATCTGTTATGAGTAAATTGAACATCAACAAAAACTAAGCGAGCGAGTGAGTAAGGCTTGTTTTCACTAATATTTTCAAACTAGACTGTAACATTTTGTTGGCGATAATGCAATGGGCAGCAAAAAATAGACTCTCGTTCTTTAACTTAAAGAGTTATACCTACACGACAATGATGTCTGTGCAAAAGTTTCTTCAGTAAAACTGAATTTGTGCTTTTTATGACGAGTTACTAAATTGTTTAAATAAAAATAGTAAACCTTGTTGGACTTCATGCTTATGATCTTCACAGTTTTTGCAACTCAACAAAAACGGTTTTTGTGAACATAGCGTTCACTCGGATGAAAAGAAAATAATAGATTCGGATTTTCCAAATTGCTCTCAATTGGCACTTGTGAACAGGCGTTTAGTAACCAGGCTTATGGTGATCATTGGAATCGGCGCTATTAAAATAGTTTTTTGTTACTTCTCATGGTAACAAATTATTCAAATAACCTACTTTTTTGAACTACTTTTTTTTCGCAGACTAGGTGAAATAGCAGATGTTTTATTTTCATTCGCAGATTAATTCAAATTGCTGATAGTTATATGCATATTAGATAAAAACTAGGACATTTAATTTTGAAAAACAAATAAAGTTGTAAAATGAGAAAAATCAGTTTTCGGCGATAATTTTATAAAACATTCAACCAATTTATCAAGTTTTTTGTAGTGAAGTGAAAAACAATTAATTTTTTATGTACACAAACTAAAGCCGTTCATTAACCGCGCTCAACTTGACCTGAAGTGTATCGAGCAAAAAGCTTGAGCGTCAAAGTCTATGCTTTGAACTGTGATGAAATAATACATAAAAGCAGCTTATTAAATTTACAAATCTAGCAATTGTGTAAACATGCAGAAGTATTGGAAAGTGAAGAATTTTGAAAAAATTGAAAAGAAATTGAGGGAGGGAATCTCTCGTGCACGATAAAGCCGAATGCCTGAAAATTAATTTAGCCAATCATAGATCAGTGTTCATCAAAAAAATTGTCACTGGAAAAGAAAAGATATCACTGGAAAGTCTTCTTTCTTCATCTAGATGTGTTGAATATTAAATTTGCTGTGAAGAAATTCGAATTTGCTTGTAGGTAAGAAGTATTGGATGAGGATTAGTAAGGCGTGTTTCGCCTCCCTCACGCTGTTAGTTGTGGTGTTCTTCCTCATCTACGGGGTGGAGATGTTCTTCAAAGTAAGAGGTGCATTCGTGGACGCCAATAGACGTCTCAACACATTCGTCGCATGCTCTTCCCGACTCAGCCTCATCGCACAAGCCGCATGTCTCCTCTTTCTAGGCAAGCTTTATTTGCAAACTGATTTCTTGAAATTCACTTTAATTTCTTATTCGGTAAAATAGCAAATATTTGTAGTTTTCATAATTGTATGTAAGATTAAAATTCCCCTCATTGGCGACAGCGTCTTCTTTGAATGGCGTGTTTTATTTCTTGGTAAAAAAAATTGACAATTTTTTTGAAAATTTTTAATGACTAATTTAATTGGTGCTGTAATGCTGGTAATATTATTATTCTTGGAAAGAATTTACAAAAATTGTACACGTCAATTAAATCTGGGCTTGCGCAATAGAATTTATTGGTTATAACACAATGCGCTGTATTTAATTACTATTTCATTATTTTCAGCCCTCTTTCTGTTCTCCGATGTGGCGTTCATTCACTTCGAGAAAAAAATCACAGACTTGGGAATTAGTTACTTCGACACAGCTTGCAGAGCCGTTGACCTATGTGTCGCCATATGGTTCCCCCTAGTCCTCTGGAAGTCAGCCAAGCCGGACGAACTTTGGCTTCTCAATCCTAGAGTACTCTTCCAGAAACCGGCCAACGGGGGCTTCTCATCTCAAGATATAGTTGCAGTATACACTTCTTCCGTTGCGCCCCGGGAATCGAGTTCGGATCCGAACGACTTCGCGCCATCCTCACCACAGTCAGTGTCATGTACGCCGTCTTCATTTAGTGCCACTAATGCCCTAGTTCAACAGGAAGTTACACAGGAGTGTTTCATTTGCTACGATTCGGAAAGAGATGACGCTGGTCCACTGATCAAGCCATGCAAATGCAAAGTAAGACATGTCTTTAATGGGTGTCATCCGATTTTTTGTTACTGAACGAAGTGAAGACATTCAGTTAGGTCGTGTTTATAGTGGTTTTTAATTTTTAAAATGCCCAGCGGAATGAAGAAATTACCTTCACCCAGTTTTTTTAAAATTGTTCACTCGAATTAGGGATAGTTTTCTAAAATTTGGTTGGTTTGATCAATAAATGGTCGAAGAGATTAAGGTGGTATAGTTTTCTTCTATAGAACTCCAAAGTTGAAAAACTCATCATTGAATCTTATCCATCTTTGTGTTGGCAGTTTAAATGAATGTGGCTAGGAAGTAGCAAACTAATTTGAATGTGATAAAGGATATCCGCTTGCTGTGCACATAGCATAGAATGTTCCGATGACATTCGTTAAAAAATTATTAAGAATTCTTCAAATTAGTGTCGTTTCTTGTGCATGGTGTGATGAAAAAAATTATACCGACCTGTAGAAAGTTAGTAAAATAGGCATGGTACACAACAGTTGTCTTCAAAAAAGAGCAAACCAAAAATTGATATTTGCAAAATATTTTTGGAAAGTTTTTCTTACGAAGATAGCGTTAAATGAAGCTTACAAAACTGATTTTTGATAACAAAAATCAAATTTTCTTTTCTTAGCTTAATTGACCAATTTTCTAATAACGAACGTTACTCGATCGCTGCAATCGTTTCGAAGTTAGTCTAAAACTCTAAAATTTCAAACCGGTTTTTCTCGACACTGCGAAAACTTTAAGAAAATTTCTAATTTCATCGAATTACGACTGAAAAGGCGTTAACATGATATATATCACTCGACTCATTCCGGTGATTATTCGTGGTAACTGATTTTGCGTGGAAAACAAAAAATGAAATTAAAAACAAAACGCACGCGCGTACAAAGTTCCTCCCCATTTTCAATGATGGGAACAATGATTCTATGTGAGCCCAGTGTAAATCACTACCCAATACTCACTGGACAAGAGAATCATTATCTGCTTTGACAATTTTCACCTGTTTACATTTTTAGGGCGATACATCGGTCGTGCATCATGATTGTCTTCGTCGCTGGATTCTGGAGTCCATTGGAGGAGTGGAAGACGAAGAAGTTGAAATCACCAATCAATCACCTCAAATCCCATCATCTGCAGTTGGCACAACAAATTATACATACACCACAAGAAATCCCCAGTCAGAACAATCGGAGAGTCGAAAGGTCGAGTCTGTTTCGTTTTCAAGCAGTAGTTTATGTTCATCGAGGTACCCAACTTATTCTGGAATTTCTTTCGGAGCCGAGACTCTTATTGCAGCTCCCGGACACTCTACGGATGTTTCCAGATACAGTGAATGCCAGCAGGAAAACCACGCTGATAATGATATAGAATCGGACAGTGGAGTTGAGTCAACGACCGCGTCGTTTTTGACCTCCAGGTCGCAGAGGGAAACCCAACAGGGCAGTTTTAGATTGTCAAGTGGGGGTTTGGGGCTGCTCCTGGGAGGCGCGGAAGCGAGAAATCATTTGAAATGCAAAGTGTGTAACCAACCTTATGAACTGCAAACGTCCTTCATGATTCAGTGCCAGGTATCTATAGTTCCAATAGGACTTTCGTATAAAAAAATTTGGGGCGCATTTTCAAAAATTTTGTCGGCCTTGTTTTTAGGTCGACCAAATTGAGTTTTTGAGCGCTCCTAGAAAACTAGAAGACCGTATTTTGACAAAAACAAAACTTGTGCCACAGGAAAATTTTTGAAAAAACGGCCATTTTAGGGCACTTTTTGGAAAATGTAGAGTAAAAAACCGCGTTTGTTTGGCGCGCGCTCCCCGTGAAAATTAGTATATGTTGGCGCCAAAGGGGCCTTAAACAATTTCAGGTTCGGTCAGCCAAAATAGATTTCTTAAAAAGCACGAAAAGGGGGACCCTCTGGGTCGGCAGGGGGTCGAATCCCTGAGGGGGGGGGGGGGCGTCCGCCCCCCTCAATCTGCCCCTAGTTGTTTCAATTAAAGAAGACATTTTTAGGTCGAGTGTTTTCGAGGAGTCATGAACATAGTGAATACTCTTATAAAGATCTTGGTGATTTTTTGTAAATTTTGATTTTTCACGGTTTGAGTTAAGTTTTTTTTTCTAAAATATTTCATCTCCTTTATTAAGAAAGGAGAAGGTAAACTCCAATATCGAACAGCGAAAGTGTCAAGGTCACAAAAAACGTGATCGACATCTAGTTTCGAAAGTGGAATTTAATTAAAAAGAAGTGTCAAACTGTTTTGAAATTCAAAGGTCAAATATGTTTTCTTTGAAATTCGAAAGTTGAAGTTTTTCAATAAAAAAAATAGAAACTTTTGTTACCAATCCAGTTTTTTTTAAATTGAGTTAATTTATCAAAAAAATGCCAATTATCAATTGTTTTTGAAATTCAAAGAGCTTTAAGGTCATATATTCTCTTTGCGTTCATTACTTTTTTTCTAATTTTTCTATGGAATCATCATCTCTCTTTTAAAAAGTAGCTGGTTCGTAGCCCTGCTCGTTGACTGAGGCCAAGGCAATAATACTGAGCCCTGAATACACAGCCTATGACCAAAAAACTGTACGTGACGCTTAGACATGGGACAACTTTCGTTTATTTCCGTATGTTAGTAATATTTCTCGTGGATAAATCGTCGTAAACGAAAAAGAAAATGTTATCTAAGTGCTTAAAAACGACGAGTCGTTTTTTTCTAGTTCATTGACGTTTAAACTGTCTGTTGGCTATGTATTTTTCAATAAATATCTACATGTTAGAATATAGACTAGTTCAATTTGTTGAATTTCAAGGTTTCTGATTATCATTGTTCTTCTAGAAAGATTGCATTGTCGCGTTGGTAAGTCGGTACTGATCTCATGAATCTGCATTTGGTCTCCTGAATTTAAACCTCTTCTTGCAATCGTGAAAGTAAACCTTGTATTTTATGAAGTATGCTCTGAAGGAACTTGTGTTTAGGCTCAAAACTGGAGGCTGTGGTCTCGCTGGATACTGGGGCTGTCAGCTATGACTGCTCTTCCCTTTGCGGCATCCGCTGTATTTCAAATCACAACTGAACCAGCGCCCAGAGTCTTAGGTTAGTAAGGCATCTTTATCGCTTTATTTGATTAAGCGAGTTGCAGTCTCCTTCAACTTATCTCAGTTGATATTGATTGATTATTACGATGGAGAAGATAATTACGATGGAGAAGATAATCAAGAGAAGACATGAGCTTCGAGAAAATTAGCGTTGTGTTAAGAAATAGCACTCTCTTACAAGGAACGTGGAAATGGCGCAAAAAACGTGAACGATTTCTAGTTTCGAAAGTGGATTTTTTTTAGATTTCCAGGGGAATAAAACTTTACCTGTTGATCCAGATTTCTCAAGTTGAGTTTATGTTATCAAAAAAGCGACAATCATAAATTGTTCTAGAAATTCAAAGAGCTTAAAGGGCATCTAATTTTTTCTTTGAAATTCGAAAGTTGAAATTTTTTCAACAAAGTCAGTGTTTTTTTTATGTTTACTTTCGTTCATTGCTATTTTTCAATTCGATTGGCTATGTTATAATTTTTTCAAACTTAAAATAGTAATCCATTCCATGGGTGATGTTTCAGCACTGGCAGTTCTATTTTTGCTCGAGTATGCGCTCTGGAGGCTGGCTGGCTTCAACCTCGTTACCCTCTACAACTACGCCAAGTTCTCCTCTTTCCGCATCGAAGGAAAAGAAGTACACAATACAATCGCAACCACCAATACACCAAATACAACTTCAGCAACCGCGTCTTATATCCCAAAGGTCACAACTTCAAATGCTATTTTGACAAGTTCAGACACCGATTCTGAAATGAATGACGCTTCGAATTGTGGTCAAATGAAAACTGAAGTTTGTGTTGCAAACGGTGGCTTGAATAGTTTAGATACTGAAAGCTGTTCCAGTGAAGAAGTATCCAAGACGCAGCTAGTCGAAAATGCTAACAGTAATGAGACCAACAAATCACTCAAAAATGATAGAAGCCGTGCAGTAAAAATCGGAGCAAGTGTTGTTTCCCTTGAGGAAAGAAGTTCAAACGCAGACGAAAAAGAAGATGAAAAAAAGGATGAAGATGGCGCGGTGGAAATAATCACGCTTAATCGAGTGTAATTTCAAAGCTTGTTCGCGACGCATGAAATCAAATCATACCTATTGACTGATCAAATCGCTAATTCTGTCGAACTCAATCATGTTACCAGTCATATAATCACTTAAATAGATGTCTTATAAAAACAGAAAAATGGGTATAAACAGTCTTGTTGACGTTTTCAAACTTTTAAATAGTTTTGTTAAAATTTAGAAAGCTTTTCGTTTTCAAGGAGAAGTCAGGAGATCTTTTTTTAAATGTTGTTTTTCGGAACGAAAACGTCAGCAAATTTGGTAAACAAAATTCAAAAAGTATTTTATTGTATAGTCAGTTGTTATTCATTTCTAATGCATCTGAATATTTAGGAAAGCAGAGTAATTGGGGTTTGTTTCCTATTTGATTAAGTTAATTTTAATCTCCCCATCTTTAACTTACTGATACTTAAAGCCGATGGGGTTCTAGACGAATTTCTGTAGCTCTTGTCAACTTGTACTTATTTGTTGCTGTAAAAATAATAAAATTCTTTCAATTAAAGTATAAATTATACTCATTAGATCCTTAGATGTTACAAAATAATATTTTTTGTTGAAAACGCCATTTAATGTATGTTTTGTCGTAATTTAGTTTTTGAAGGAGTAATTGTTCTCAAATAAGCAGAAGTATTTTGAGGCAACCAGATGAAGCTTGAGTGATTTTTACTGAGTTATAATGCAGATAAACCGAAATTGTATAAATTACTTAACTCCTAAATCTGAGTTCAAATTGAGCTTCCTGAGAAACTTTTTCAAGAGTAATGAACGTAGTGAAGACTCTTATATAGGTATTGCTGATTTTTTTAAAGGAAAAAGTCTTAAAATTTGTTCACGCTCAATTTTGAGTTTTCGCGGTTTGACTTGTGATTTCTTTTTAAGTTCAGTGCGTTTCTATTGTTAAAAGGAAGGTAAACTCCACTATCGAACAGCAAAATTGTAAAGGTCACGAAAAACATGATCGACCTCTAAGTTTGAAAATGTAAACTTATTATCAGAATTCCCAGCGAAATAAACATTTTACCTATTGAGCCAGTTTTTTTTAAATTGGGTTAATTATAACAACAAAGTGTCCATCATAAATTGTTCTACAAATTCAAAGAGCTTCAAGGCCATCTAATTTTTTATTCGAATTTCAAAAGCTGAAGATTTTTGAAAAACTATGTTAGTTTTTTTCCTAGTTTTTCCTTGCGTTCATTACTTTTCAACTGTCAGTTGTTTATGGTTTAAAAATTGAACTCCGTGGAATTTTGTTGGAAATTAGCCCTCGAAAAGTTGTTTTAAAAATGATACAATGTTATTTCCATATATTGAATTATTTTAATCTCAAAATGATACAATGTTATTTCCATATATTGCATTATTTTAATATATTGAAATTAATTCGGAAATACAAAACTTTCTTAATTAACTTATCTAACACATTTTTTTAACTCAAAAACATTTTTTACTCGAGCTGAGATTTGTTATCGACATACAAGGGGTGCACTTGAAGTTTTTCACTTTTTTCTGGACCGATGAGTTATATATAAGTTTATAAGAACGGAGTGATTTTCACTTATATAGGGCTTGATGATTCATGATTGCACTAATGTATATTTGCACTTTTTGAGTTCAATTCAAATTAGTTTGCTAAAAGCTCGGCAAATTGTGCTCTCCAATTACGAATGCGTTTCCCAGTGGAATAAAAATTTTACCCTTTAATCCAGTTTTTTTATAATTGGGTTATTATTATCAAAAAGTTTTATAGAAATGTATCGTAATTTGTTCTAAAAGTTCAAGAGTTTTATGGCCATTCAATTTTGCTCGAATTTTGCAGTTCATGGCTTTTTTCCTGTCTGTTGGGTATGATTTTTTTCAGAGGTCAAATTAAGTGTAGTGTATTAGTATGATTCTCCTTTTTTTCCAATCTAACTTGCAAATGAAAGTGCTCATTTGGTGGAACTTTTGCTATAATTACGATCTGTACCATTGGGAATTTCATAGAATCTGTTCTCTGCTTTATTTGTGGCTAGTGTTTTGTCTATCCTCAAGGGTCCGTGCCTGAGAAAGAATAACGTCAGACTCCAAGACTCGAGGCCACAGGGTTGAATCCGCAAAATTTTACTAATTTGAGGCTTGTTTTGCTTCGCTTTATGGAGCTGGCTTTTTTGTCATTTCTCGCTAGTATTTGCGAATCGCAGCTTTGCCTCTGTGTAAATTTTTTTTCTTCGAAAGTTGAAAAGTTTTTTCTGGTTCCCGTGAGTTCTCAGACTTTTACATTCTTCTGTTGGCCATGTTCGTCCTAGGGACTGACGACTGTCAAAATAAATATTCAAAGAGGTAATAGCTTGCTTTTTTGCGTTTTTGTTTCAACAAGCAGAGAATGAAAGTCCCACAATGTTGCAACTGTATGGGGCTACGTAGAGAAACAAGTGAAATTATCTCTGTGAAATCAGAAGTTCTGTGACCTGAAAAAATGGCATCGGTTTTATTGGACGTAAAGGCGTTGAATTATTCAAACAGGGGCGGATCTAGGATCGAGAGAGAGGATTTTCGAGCTTTTTTATATCGATCAAATTGATTTTCCGAGCTCTCAAAGCACTAAAAAAACACTTTTTTGAAAATTTTGGAATTTTTTCGAATCCTTGAGGGGGTGGGGGTATGTCCGCCCCTGTATTCAAGTATCTCTTTCAGGATACCAGAACCTCGATGTTAGACCTCATTTTACCATCAGATGAAACGCTCGTTTTTCCCAGCGTAGAGTCTGTTCTATTTATGCAGCAATTCTTAAGTCATTTTCTTATATCATTTTTTATCAACATAATCTATTCAAAAAATCTGCTTCAGTTGCTTAGATTGAAATTAGACAACAAACTTGAAAAGAAGTCAAAAATTGCAATCAGACATTTGGAAAAGAATCTAGGAAACTGAAAAAAGCGTCGGATTTGCTATATTTTCTATTTTGTTTGGTGATAACGTAGTGGATCTTATATGGGTCGTGTTATTTTTTTTTCGCTCACGTCAAATTGAGGTTCAATTCAAACTAATTTGCCAAAAGGAAGTCAAATTACGCTCCAATTACGAAAGCGGTACTAGCGTGAAAGCAAAGCCTGAATAACGTGGATTTTGATTTTCAGATTTTTCAGCGGAGTGAAAAACTTACTATTTTCTCGATCAGTTTCAGTTTTAGCGGTTTAACTATTGATTTTGTTCTGTTCATTTAATCCCAAAGAGCCAAATGGGAGTCAAATTGTGCTCTCCAACAACTAAAAAATTAAAGTTTCAATGATTTAAATTTTTAGAGTTCATCGCGGAGTGAAGAAGTTTACAATAGAGCCTGATGTCTAAAATACGGTGAAATTTTTAAAAATGTCAATCTTAAAATATTCTGGAGTTTAAAGTTGTTATAAGTGTTTCTCTGAAACTGAGTAGTTAAATGTTTTTTTAAAAGTTTTTTTCAGTCGATTGGCACTTTTTGAAATGTCTTTTGAATGTTTTTGGTTTGTATACGAACGAACGAAGGATTGAAGTCATTCGTCACATGTTAAGATTGTGTTTTTATTTCAGTTAGTGCTTTAAAATTTAGCTGAAATTTGATTTTTTAGGGGCTTGTTACTGCTTTGACTTCTTTCTCAAGTTCCATTCAAAATCTTTCGCTAGAAATAATGCAATATACGCTCTGCCATTACGAAAATGAAATTGAGCGAAAAAATGAATTTGCGAAAAAATGAGTAGTTTCGAAAGTGAATTTTAACTTTCAGAACTCGAAGCAGAATAAAAACAAATACCTATTGTTACACTTATCTTTAATCAGATTGGTTTCATGAAGAAGTGTCAATCATAAACGGTTCTTGAAATTCAAAGAGCTTCAAAGTGATATATTTGTTATTCGAAATGAAAAAGTGGAAACAGTCAAAGAGTTACGAGTTCGGTCAGACTCTCTAACTGTCTGCTGGCTATGTTCTTATATGTAATTACGTAGTGCCATGCTATGATATCCATTTTTTTCCCAACCTAGGTCGCAAATAAATTGTTCAATAAAAGTGTTCACTTCGCTGTTGCTGCATATCATGCTTTCAATAGCGTTTCAAGAGAGTATTTTCACTTTTGCTTAGTTAGTGGCAAGTACCTGTTTGGTAATAACGAGTCTTATGAAAATGTATTGGATTTGGTTTTTTGTTGATGATATGGAAAATTTTTGCATTGGCCATAAAAGTTTTTATCGACAAATACTTCACCGACTTACAATAAAAAATTATATCAATAGAACGACTGGTTACGATTCTTGTGTGTATGCATATTACACTATACTGTTTTTACCTTACCCCACATTCTTCGGCCTGCCAAAATGTCAGTGTTGGGAGTTTTTTATCCTTCGATTTCGTTTTCTGAAAATAGCCCTACTAATTGTGAGATTCAAGTTTCAATCGATAAAACATGTCTTGGGAATTTTTCCTGCATAAATTATTACGCCCTAACGTTTGTAGGAAAATTTGTGGCGTCATACTATGTCCAAACTTTGAAATTTTGTCTGTTTTTCGGAAACTGTTTTCTCGAGAACTACCCGGTCAAGTCTCAGATTGAGAGTTCAATCAGTAGAACAGTTGATAGAAGTTTTCCCTGCATAAACGGCTGAGCCCAAATTTTAGTTGGAAAATGTAATGATCTTAAAAAATGGCTATTTTTGACATTTTGATAGTTTTTAAGCTGGAGTTTGCAAGGGTTATGGAATCGGAATGCAGACTTTTTTTCGGGTTAACAACTAGTTTAACAAAATCAGTTGAATCATTTATGATGCTGACATTGACTTACTCAATTTCATGATAGTTCAATTTTAGTTACTGGGTGGGTAGTACTTACTACAGTGTTTCAGGGGGGCTTGTAACTAATTAAAATTTTGTACGAAATCAGTGTTTCGGCTCAATTGCTGTCTGCTTAAAGATTGCCGGCCTTGTTTCTGATTCGTAAGTTTTGTTCAGTTGCTCATTTGAATTTTAAACATCTTGCTTGGCATGTTTGCCTAGAGTTCTTGTTTGATAAAAACATGTATTATAAAAGTGTATGGGATTGGGTTTATTTTGTTTTATTTTTGAGACGCTTTGGAAAATTTTATCTTTTTTTTGCAATAGTTTAGCTCTTTCTCAAAAGCTTTTCTACCGATTTTCAAAAACGGGTTATCTATAGAAAGACCGCTTACATTCTTGTGTGCCTGCATACTCCCGGGGTTC